TCTTCTTCCCGCACCCCTTCCCCTTTCCCCCCCAAGAATAGTCAGTCCATTCCCTTTCTATGTCCCTGATTCATTATAATCACCAGTTCATTCTTCTGATCAGATTATTTATTCACTTGATTCTTAGATTCACTTGTTGATAGATGCATGTTTGTTGTTCACAATTTGTATCTTTACCTTTTTCTTCTTCCTCCTCTTAAAGGATACCTTTCAGCATTTCGTATAATACTGGTTTAGTGGTGATGAACTCCTTTAGCTTTTCCTTATCTGTGAAGCTCTTTATCTGACCTTCAATTCTGAATGATAGCTTTGCTGGATAATAAAGTATTCGTTGTAGGTTCTTGGTATTCAGCACTTTGAATATTTCTTGCCATTCCCTTCTGGCCTGCAAAGTTTCTGTTGAGAAATCATCAGACAGTCGTATGGGTATTCCCTTGTAGGTAATTGAGTCTCTTTCTCTTGCTGCTTTTAAGATTCTCTCTTTGTCTTTTGCTCTTGGCATTTTAATTATGATGTGTCTTGGTGTGGTCCTCTTTGGATTCCTTTTGTTTGGGGTTCTCTGCGCTTCTTGGACCTGTAAGTCCATTTCTTTCACCAGGTGGGGGAAGTTTTCTGCCATTATTTCTTCAAATAGGTTTTCAATATCTTGCTGTCTCTCATCTTCTGGCACCCCAATTATTCTGATGTTTGTACGCTTGAAGCTGTCCCAGAGGCTCCTTACACTATCTTCATATTTTCGGATTCTTTTTTCATTTTGCTTTTCCGGTTGGGTGTTTTTTGCTTCTTCGCATTTCAAATCTTTGACTTGATTCTTGCGCTCCTCTGGTCTGCTATTGGGTGTCTGTATAATATTCTTTATTTCAGTCCGTGTATGCTTAATTTCTAGTTGGTTCTTTATCATAGCATCGAGGGTCTCATTAGTTTTCGTGACTCTCTCCTCAAGTTTATTGACAGCTTCTAGCACATTTTTGCAAGCCCTCAAAATTGCGATTTTTAGCTCTATATCCTCCATTTCTGTCATGTTTTTTTGTCTCCGCATTTTTTATGCTTTCTTGGTGCACCCCCTAGTGGTCTTTGTGCGCAGTCTTGTTCTAGTTGAGCCTTGATTGTTGTAGTTAATACTAGAGGGATTTGACCACCAGGCCGACTGGCTGTGTGAATCAGCTGTGTCTGCCGCGGAAAACTTCTGTCCTCTGGGGAGGTGCTAATCTAGCCTTTGCCTGAGGCGATCCGGCAAATGGCTCTGCGCAGGGCTTGGGCGGGGCGGGCTCAACAGGGCGGGCGGAGGGAGCGGTTATGGCTGCCCTCAGTCCCGTTCCCAGAGGCTCTGCTTCTCAGAACCCCAGGAACCGCTGCAAACCTCGGAGGGAAAGCTGCCTTCCAACTGATGCCAGACACTCCCGCTTCTCCCGTTTGAGTCCGAGTCCCCAGCGATTCGCCCAGATCTGGGGCTCAGAGTCTGAGACACCCTCCTGATTGAAAACGACAACCGCGCCCTCAGCCACCAGCCCGCTTTGCGCGCGCACCTCCGCACCTGAGTATTTTCCACACTGCGCCTCCTCTGAGCCTCGGTGTGCTGTTATTTTTCCTTCTAGTTGAAGAGTCTCTCCTCAGCCAGCCTTCCTGTGGTTCTGGGTGATGTCCGTTCCGTCTTTTAGTTGTATTTTTGAAGTGGTTGTTTGCGGCAGCAGTCTCCGGTGTTTACCTATGCCGCCATCTTCCGCACTCCCATTTGTTAATAAATACTGAACACACTATTTCTAACTGCCTGAGTCCAGGGTGCTCTAAGCGGACCAAATCTGTGAGCTCGCTGTTTCCTGATCCCCACACTGGACAGAGGCATCTTCATTCTGGTCCTTCATAGGCCTTTCCATCCGACCACCAAGTCCAAACAGGTGGCTGCTCAGAGGAACTGACTGAGGCAGGGGCTGGGACCAGGGTATACTGGCTTGGGCCAAATTTCACAGCCTCCCCGCTGTGCCATGAGCGGTCCTGGCAGGCCAGGTCCTATGTCCACGACGTTCCTCGGCCATTAGGCTGAGTGGAGGACCCAGATGGGCCGTCACCCACTGTGGCAAGAGGCACCGAGCTGAGTGGTCGAACATGAGAGGGGAAGGGGCGAGGGCCCCCAGCAGTACCTTTGCGTTCTCGGAGGTGCAGCCTGCTGGGTACAGCAGCCCTGTTCGGAAGGTGCAGTTCTAGAGGTCCCCCTGGAAGTTACGGGGGAAATTCTGTGCAGTCATCCAGCCACATGGTAGCTATTCCCTTAAGGCGCTGCTTTGACGGTTCCTACCCACCCCTC